TATATATATATATATATATATATACAAATATGAGTGAGGCCTGCCGTTAAAATCAACGCATAGATGGAGAGAGAAAGGAAGACTACGCAGGGCAAAAAAAAAAAAAGCGCGGCCAGAGCGAAGCATGTTTACAGAAAATGGCTCGAAAATAAGGGGACTATGCCACTCAGGCCACTCGATAAGGCCCAACATCAACACGAGCAGACTAATCGGAAACAAAACAGGATAACTGCGCGCAATTCGTTGCCACTCTTCGCCTAAAAATTTTAGACAAATATCACTTCGACGTTCAAATGCTCCAGGAGCACAAAGACTTTTTGTTTCTCACCACTACTTTCGGCAGAAAAAAAAAAGACACGCTTGCAGAGGTGTGTAAAAGAACATTTGGCTCACTGCAACAGAAACAGCAATAACTCTTTTGTAAGTAGACAATTCAAAAAAATGCAATGGGGCACGGCGTAATGAGCCTCCACTCACCTAGACTCGGCCATCATGCCTGTTTCGCACACAATTCTTAAACATTAGGGTGCTCTACTTTCAAAAGAAAACCAAACGGGGGTCAAATCTAGGAGGAACGCTGCGTAACGAGACACAAGGTGAGAATGGACCAAATGGGTGGACTTTTCAAGCGGTTTGATTCTCTTTGCGTAGGATTGTTTTTTCTTTCCAGTAAAAAAAATCCAATTCCTTTAGAACTAGCTGTAGTTTTTTTTTTTTGCTCCCATAATAAAGAGTACGGCTCCACTCAAGGTTTCTCCAGCAGCGCAAGGGGGGAACAAGAAACAATAGCAGTGAGGTGCGCGTACATGTATGAGGGGAAAACATATGTATATATATATATATATAAAGCGGTAAAAGAATCAGCGCCAGGAGGAGCTCAAACCGTTAGCGGGTCGTCTGTGTTGGGAGCGCAGGGCGGAGAGCAAACCGACATTCCGGCGGTGCACGGCCCAGTGCAACGCAGGGAGCTTACCTCCGTGACACGGTGCAAACACAAACGTCCCTGTGCATTGGGGCGTACTTGCACATACGTCTGCGCGCTCACCTGCAACTCGACACGCGGGAGCTTCGGGGCTGCAGACATCTGTTGGGCTCTGACGACTCGAGGAGTGAGCAGCGCATTCGCAGCAGAGAACACCTGCGTCGTTGCATTCACCTTGAAATCCGCTGGCTCCTTTGACAGTGGTGTTGAAGTGTCATTTTCGATGTGTGCAGGCTCGTCGAACGACACACCATCGTCCACGTCAAGTGGTGTGCCACCAGTAGTGGCCGCATGGGTGTGTACTGGAGACCCACCAAAATTGCACCTCCTACCCACGGGAGAAGCATCTTGGGTGTATGTTGTTCCCTCTTCTCGCATTTCGTCGTCCCCTGATGCCTGCATATGTGTGCTTGACAAAATACGTTTGAGTAGGTATTCTTTTTTAAAGCTCGAGGCAACCACCTCATTCCTCTCCCCTGCCTCGTCCTGGTCCTTCCACTCCTCCTCCTCCTCCTCGTTCTGCGGGCTGCTCAGCCTGCACAGCTCAGTGGCGTCGTCCTCGTCCGTGAAGTTCCGCCAGACCTCCTCGACATCAGCAGTGTAGTCATCGTCGTCGAGCGGGCCGTCCCTCGACATACCAGCAGAGCGAAGCTGCTGCATTGCTTCGCTACGCCCATGGTTCGTCCGAAACATCAAGCTCTCTTTCCGTAACACCGTCACAAAGAGTGACACGATAACAAAAACGAAATCAAAGGTAAAAAAAAAAAGAATCTACTGGCTCAGAATCACCCCAAAAAATAGGGGGCACGCTATCCACTGTCCAGGAAAGATAAACAAATAAAAAACAAGAGAATAGGAAAAAAACATACAGATTTGCATCTGAAAATATAGAAATACACAAACACAAGTGTCCAAGGACATAGATACGACAGGAAAAAATATCACAATATAACGAAGAGAGAATATATATGTGAACAGTCTACGTCTGATCTTTCCTTCTAAAATTCCTCCGGTGGGAAATCCCCAACCTCCACCTGATCCGGGCGCAAGAACCCACCATAGTTCGGCTGGCACTCAAATATGCTTTTCCCCTTGACGCTTCCATCGCTCTTCCCCACAGGTTCGTCAAACTCGACACCAATCCAGTATCCAGCCTTCAGGGCAGCCACACGCCCCACAAACCGCACTGTTCCCAAACGGTCCCCCGGCTGGCACATGCAACGATCCCCGATGTGCATTGTCTCCGCCTTATCCTTGTAGCTGTCATCATTTAACTCCTTGAGAATCGGTTTCCCAGTTTTCTCCGCCTCTTCACGTTGTTGTGCCAACATGCGCTGACGAAAGGCTCGGGCATTGTCATCCCGCTTGTTGTATGCTTCTTCTGAAATCTCATATTTTTCAACTTGGGACAAATCTTCAAAGTTATTGACTAACGGTGCCGGCTGAAGGTCCACAACGTGGATAACGTAGTCATCCTTGCACTGATAGTATCCCAGTTGTTTTTCATCTGACATATCCGATTCTATTGTGATGCCGCGATCATCGATAAGTTGTAGACGCATCTGCTCCGGTGGTGTGGCAAAATGTGTAGAAATGTTGGCCTTAATGCTTGAAATGGTCTGCGCAAGACTGTAGCGCTTCTCTGGGACCCGCATCTTACTCGACGAGTGTGTGAGCGAAACTCGAACGACAGACATGGCGTGTTAGAGGTGGTATGTTAGGGCTATCAATAATGACTTCAAAAACTTCTCCCTTTTTGTGCTGAGAAAAATGAGAAAGATTACCTTTCGCTTAGTAAATGTGGAATGAAGAGAGAAGGGTACGGAGGAGGGAATTGAAGAAAGAGATAGACAAAGGAGAACGACTATACCAACATGTTTGGTTCTATTTTATCCTATGCCACTTACAGCAACATTGCCGCTGCATTAAAAATAACAGACGCGTATTTCCACGCTCAGAGTACATATGGCCCATGCAGCATCTGTGTGAGTGGGCGCCACGGGGTGGCACTCTACATTCATTCAACTTCCTCATCTCTCTCATCTTCCTCGTTTTGTTCCGTCTCCCTTGTATTACTTCAGTACTGGGATTCATTGCATCTTTTAACTTCTTCATTCAGCACCAGTACCGTATTGTGCCATCACTCCCGCCGCTGACAATGAAGTTGTTGGTTGCTGGATCGAAGACAACGCACTGCACGCCGTCCTCGTGTCCCGCGAGCTCTGCCAATGTCGAGCTCTCTACATCAATAATCTTGATGGTGGTATCATCACTGGCGACAGCAAGGTACGTGCCAGTGCAATCAGCAGCGACGTGGTTGGCTGGGTACGGCCCACAGGAAATTGTCAGGCGCTGTTCCATACGTCGTGTATCCCAGAGTGTGACGACGCCATCTGCATCGCAGGAAGCCAGAGCACCCACTGTACCTACCACCGCTACAGACTGGACGGTATTACGATGACCATACAGCGTTTGTGCACAACAATTCATGCGGGTATCCCAAAGTGACACGGTTTTGTCCCCACTACCAGTGTATAACGTGTTGGTATACGGCTTCCAAGTCACGGCGTTCACGGCATCAACATGGCCTCGCAGTGTCTGACGGCACTTCCCCGTTGTGACGTCCCAAATACGGGCGGTTTGATCGAGAGCACCGCTGGCCAGCAGGACGCCAGTCTCCTGAAAGTCAAGGCACCACACGCCATCGCAGTGACCCTTCAGCGTTAGCTTGCAGCCGTTGGTTGCGAAATCCCAGAGTTTCACAGTCTTATCACCTGATGCAGTGGCAACCATGGTGCCGGTGGGATGCATAGCCACTGCCGAGATCCAGTTTTTGTGGCCTTCACCAGACATGACGAGTTCACCCTGAGGAAGCGCCGAGAGCCGCCAAGTTCCATCATCGCTGGAGCTGGCAACAGCTGGTTTTACTGGGTGCATAGCGACCTTTGTCACTGGCATAGAGTGCGCCTTGAAAGAGGACTGGCACACCCACATAGACGGTTCAGTTTGCGGTGCGTAGGCAGGCTCTCCACGTGTCGGCTGCGGCCGCTCGTCTGCTGGCCATCGGAAACCATCTGTAATAACTTCAGCTGCTTTTACTGCTTGATCACCTACTTTATTGGCAACATTTTTTGCCATAGTCGCTTTTGCTGCTTTTCCTTCTTTTTTCTTGAGTGCGGTGTCTTTAGTGGTGTGGGTTTCGCCCTTTTCATGTAGCTGCAGTTGCCGCTCCAGGGCTTCCACCTGCTTCTCTAGTCTGGTCACTTTGGCATCGAGCTTGTCTCGCTCTATTGACAAAAGTGTTTTCCCCTTGTGGAGTGATTCGCACTTTTGGCGAAGCTCGTTGAGTGTTGGGCTAATATCCTCTGCGTGATGCTGCGCCTGCCGGAGGAGTTTCATAATTCGGTTCTTCTCCTGCACGACACGATTGTGGTTAGCACGATGAAAGTCCCGTTCTTTTTTCGCTTGCAAAAACTGTTTTGTAGTTTTCGCCGTTAATTCAGCATGTTGACGGAGTTGATGCTCCAATACGTCGATGCGGTCTTGAAGGGCGGCAGTTTCAAGATAGTTGTCAGAAAATACCGGAGCGTCCATTAACGGCTTTGATCCATACTTTTCATACCATTCAATCTCAAAGATCTCCATCGTCCGGTACATGCCATTCCTCTGAAAAAAGTTGCGCAAAAAATCATCAGTGGACTCTGGGATGCGTTTGAGAAGAGCACGTGGTGGGGGCGGCATGCCCTGTTCTCGCTGGAGCTGCACTGTACGCTGAAAGGTGTCGTAATCCATATCCTCCATTTTGGGCATTAACGTGGCATTAAGCTCAGACTGTTCTTGCACTGACCCGTCATCTATGACGGGAGTTTTCGTTGCAGTCTCACTTACTGATACCATACGGAAGAGGAGCGCGGACCACTAACCAATCTCGTTCTTTCTATAAACCTGATTTTGTTCGCCGCTCAATCCTACAAGCGCCAGAGGGTGAGCGCAGTAGCAATACAACAAGAAAAGGGGATGAGGGGCGAATAAGCGAGGAGACATATGCAGACAAAGCAGCACGACAATATTGAGTTCTCAACTCAACGCTGTACAGAAACCCTGACTTTTTTCCCCTTTATAGACCGCCCTAAACGGTCATCGGGAGACTCCAGTCAATCGGTGTGTGCCCAATCTTCGTCAAGGCGTCATTGCACTTTGAAAATGGTCGCGAACCCCACCACTTCGTTGCACTCAGTGGGGAGGGATGCGCATTTTCAATAACAACATGGCGTTTGCGATCAATCAAGGTAATTTTTTTCCGTGCAAACCCACCCCAAAGGAGAAACACAATTGGTTTCTTGTGTGCATCCGATAAGAGGTGAATAACACCATCTGTGAATGCCTGCCAACCACAAGTTGCATGAGAGTTTGCCTTGTGTGCCTCAACTGTGAGTGTTGCATTGAGCATCAACACGCCCTGCTCCGCCCAGTGCTGCAGATATCCGTGAGAGGGGGCCTTGAAGCCAGGAATATCTGCTGAAAGCTCCTTGTACATGTTCACTAAACTCGGCGGCGGGCGCATGCCAGGGCGCACCGAGAAGCACAATCCATGAGCTTGGCCAATGTTGTGGTAAGGATCCTGCCCCAGCAGCACTACCTTAACTCTCTCAAGCGGAGTGCTGTTGAATGCAGAAAAGATAAGTTCGCGCGGCGGAAGGATGACTTTTCCGCTCGCCGCCTCCATCTCTACAAACTGGCATACGCGTTGGAAACTGGGGGCACTGGTGAGGGGATGCAGAAAGGCACGCCAGTCTGGATCGATAATAAGCGATGAAAGGCACGCATCAAGTTCCATCTTTTTCTTCACAGGGGGTGGCAGTGCCTCCATATCCTCTGCGGTACGCTTCAGCGACTGTCGCATCACCTCTTCACTTGACTCCTCGTCCACATCAACCTTCACACAAGTGGGACTCGTATTCTTTTTGCGCACAAAGTCTAGAAGTGTGCGCTGCACCATTCCGCCACCACCTGCACTCACACTTTTTTTTTTTTACCACACACACACACGAGGAGGTGGAGGGGGGGCAAAAACAACAGAGGAGACGCAGAAGTGTCCCCAGCCCAGCCAGAAGAGCCTTTGCATACCCGGTGTAGTGTGTGTAGATGGAACCAGTTCACAAAGAACAAAACACAAAGAAAACGAGGGATTATTTCACCACTGATAAACAGGGACAGTCTGATATAAAAATCAGCGTCGAATGATCACCAGATGCCTTACAAGCACAAAGACACACACACACACGTATGCAAAACGCTCCTTTATAAAATCGTCGGCGAGAAAGGATGAAACAGGAGGACCTTCAAGACGAACCAAGGCTCAGAAACACTTTTCCCTCTTTTTCGTTCCAATGTTGAATAACATATCCATACGCTGATAGAAGTGTGGTGATCAGCTCTTCGACACTCCGCAGCAATTCCCCTTGATAGCGCACCTCTGATCCGTCCTCTGGCACTAACAATGCAGGCAACTGGGGCACAATCGCAACCCTGCCCTTCCCGTTGTCAAAAGCTGGCGGCCAATGCACGAAAACAGCCTGTGGCAAGGTCCGGCGAAAGACTGATCGTTTGTACTCAAAGCGGTCGAGTATAACCTTCTCCATCTCCGGCAGTTGAAAAAAGCGTGCATCATCAAGCAGCTGATCCCATTCATCAAACGCCTCAGGCAACAACAGAACACCGCTTCGGAGAAAATTGAGGACGTAACGGAATGTCACACCGTCACGGTCAATAACAAAGCAACCATCCTCACCGCGCTTCCCCGCACCACTTAGTATGGGCCCGAACACGGGGTTTTCACTGAGAGAACGAAACGTCGCACGACGTGTAAGGTAAATAATGCCGCCAACGTTAACTGACACCTGCTGTGCCCACTCCCCAGTCACATCGATACCGAGGTTCTTTTGTATCCAGTTCATCGCCAGTAGAGACATGCAAATTGCTCCTCAACTAATCCACCTAATAACGTTGGTCCCTAGTTACTAACGTCAAAGCTACCAATCGTGTGACTAGCGTCTTTGACCGCAGACACACAGACACGCCCCCCCCCCC